ATTGACTCATATACTTTAACACAGAGTTCATGCCGTTCTGGCTCTGAACATACGGCAAGGAAAGTGAAACGCTTCCTTGGTTGCTCACTGTCAGGACTCAGGAGTGCGAGAGGGCTTAGTGTCTGAGAAGGGTAAAGGGGGGCAGAGGGTAGCGCGGAGGGGAGGTAGTAAATTCCTAGGGGTAGGGGAGGGGAGGAGGCAGTGGTAAGTGTTTGAAAGCTGTGTGGTAAGAGATAGACATTCGTGATTGGGAGAGGGGAGGGAAAGGGAAGATCTAGGCAATGAAAACGTATAGGAGGGGAGGGGGTTGTTGTCTTATCTTGAAATTACACTACACTATTGAAAGTGCTTCTCCTCAGTAACGAACAAGGATAAAGAGCCTGGCTACTGTGCACATATTAACAAATCTAGCCGTGGTTGCTATGTCAGGGATGCTCTTTTAACCCCTCTTTTTATCCCACACCGCGACAAAAATATGAAATAGAGTGATGAACCAGCTCCACGACCACGTTGTATAACTGAATTGATTTTTTAATTTTTTAATGTCCTTAGTAGTATGTCGGGAAACACGCTGCATGCCTATACTTTAAATGACAGCATGAAAAAGAAAAAGAAATATTTACCCCGATACTGTGTTCTACCAGTGCTAATACCTACCTCCTGTTTCATATTCTGCATAATTTCCCTATGTGTACGCCTTTTTCATCACTGCCTTTTTAACGCATTGAAACACCTATCATATTCAGCACAGTAGCCCAATGTGTAGGCCCTTTTCATCATTGTCTCTTTTAAAACATTGAAACTCTCGCATATAATTATTTTCTTCTCTCATTCACTTTGCAGCGCGGCTTGGCCTATTTGTGTATTGAACATGCAATTAAATGAAAGACGACATCAATTCATCGCTATTCTTTTTTCATCATCCTCTATGCCCACTATTTCATCCATTTCATGTATGTCTTCATCTCGTATAATAAGCAGTATCACTCATCATTTTACACGGTTAGTCTCAGATCAGCATTTCGTTATATTATGTTATACTGTTACATTTTAAAGTACATGTGAGGTCAATCCCGGTTATATTTTGCCAGTTTTCTTTTTTTCTTCAGTTAATTGTAAAAGAATAAATAGGCCTTTTTGCATTTCTAAGCAGATGTTGGGTCGATTGTTGGGTCGGCTCTTATAGAGGTGAAATACTTAAAGGAAACCTCACTCGAATAAATAACTTCTTCTGAGATTTATAATATTCTTGCCAATTAATATAAAAGATTCCCCACCAAAATGTATGAGAGAGGCATAAAGCAAGAATAATGTAGTTTCTCAGCACGATTTTGGCATCACCATTTTCTTGATAACGTCACGTAATTATTTTTATGTTTATGTTTATTGTTTATCAAGTAAAATAATATATTAAAATTTATGGATGTTTCCTTTGCACTTGTGTGTTGTGATGAAGCTGCTATTATTCTTTGTATTAACATTGCCACAATATCTTCATTTATATGTCTCTTGTGCATTTTCGTAGGAAATATTGGAAATCAAAGGGAAGTAATACATCTCTTTCTTTTCAGAATACCTACACTTATTTTTTGGAGTGAGATTCCAATTGAAAAGTTTTATTTAAATCATTATATACTTTCTCACTATTGTTACCATTGGCGCAAATTGGCATTGTCGAATATTTTGCTGGTGAAGTCAAAAATACATTGCTCAAGGGGGTCTAATCTATAATATATTTCGAGTATTGCCCCAAGGTAGAAGGAGCTTATGAGGGAAAAAAAGATATAAATGCTATTTTGCAAATGGGAGAGTTATCCACGACCTATACGTCACAATCCACTGACCGAACTATCCAATCTGAGATTCGCATAGACTTGGTGATCTCATCTTTCAAACATTCATAACTTCCTTAATATTGGTCAGATTTATTTCAAACTTTTGCCATTCTGTTTCTGTTATTTTTCTGCTTACATACAAATTAACTTATTACAAGGGTGGGATTGCCCTTTAAAATGTTCTTTCTCGCTCTCTCTCCCAAGTCCCAAGGTCACCCGTTCCACCTCTTACCCCACCACTCATCCCTCTCTCTGTGTCACTGTCACAATCCTTTACTTTCTCTGTGTTTTTCATCGTTTCATGATAGTGGTTTTCTCATCCTTCCTTTCCACATCCTATATAACTTCCATCCTTTCCTTATGTTGTCTATTAAGCGTATAAATATGACAGATAATATCAGATGGCAACTGAGGGGAAAATTATATTGTTTTGTTACTCTGAATGTAAACAAGTTTTAACTCAGTCTGACCATGTAGATTTGGTTTGTCGATGCATGGATATATTTACAGTTTTAAACCAAAGAGGGCGTGTATGCTCACTAAATGCCTTTCACGTTAAAATATTCACTTCTTTTGCCTCGTGAATTAATAAAAAACAAGACCTGGCTTTTTCTTTTTTCTACACTTCTTGTTGGTAGCATCTATTCAATTATTTGTACTATTACTTTCTTTTTTAATAATACATTTGAGTCCAGTTTATTCGATCTATATTTCACTAATCTAAAAAGATAAAAATAAAAAAGAGGTTTCCTACTGATATAAATATGTAAAGCAAAGAGAACAGGAGAAGTAATTTAAAAGTGATGCATTCATATTGCAATTTATTAATGTAAACAATCTATCGGAACAAACATATACAAAACAAAACCTATTATGAAAATCGTATCACATTTTACTCAAATATTGTGCATAATGAATTCTTTATGTGTAATATTTTAACATGTACATTCAGATAAAATTGTATTAACTATGCAAAATGATACAATTATGCAACATTTCTACAGAATGATACTACTTTACAGTGGTGGCTTTAAGGTTTGTCTGGGATGTACTGGCTTATAGTAAGCAGGGTAAAAGTGGACCAGACAGGAGGGTGTTCAACATCAAGTGTTGTCATCAACATCAGATTTTGTTCTCCTTTCTTATAGTGGGCAAGGGGGAGGGGGTGGATTACAGACAAAGTTATTTTTAATCATCCTTAGCTTGATTTCATGATAGTCTTTATGATCATGCTATTGATAAGTCTTGCAACATTTTGATACAGCTATAATCCTTTATATTACATTTGGCAATGTAGCTCATGCTTAAATATAAGAAGATAATACAAGTCTGGAGTCTTGCTGCTTCTTGCTGCATGATAGCAGATAGCAAAGACAACAGTGTGATATATAAAGATGGAGTTTCATTATATGTTTTGAACAGATGGTAGATATTACAGTGGTCAGACAATGCCTCAGCATTGCTTTGAATGTTCCTCCTCACCAATAAAAAAACAAAAAAGCTACCAAGATACTCAGGGAAATGAAAACAAAGTACTCATCAATAACAATTTAAAATTAAGGTTGTTTGATCTTACCTGTCACACTTCATTCTAAGCCGAAGGGCGTGTTATATTTCGTTCTCATTCTACAAATAGTTCGGCTGATAGATGTAGGACCAAACTACCGGTATATATGCCAGAAATCAGATTGAAGCATGTCTTTCAACCAACTCTCTCATGGCAGAATGATGTCACTCAATTTAACTAGGTCACTTGAAATAACATATAAAATCTATTGAAAAACAAAGTCAGTACTGATCAAATATATCTTGAAATCACCTCGCCTTCAATGACTGTAAACAAATAAATTCTGTAAAAAGAAAGTAATGTACAACTTCTAGACAATAACACATTAACCTTTGATAATCTATAATTTGTCAATAAAGAATTGATGAGAGCCTTCATACAAAATTAATAATTCTGTAGAGCAATCCCGAGATGTTGTTGCTTTTGTTAACTTCTAACATTCTCAAAGTATCATCATACTCTATGTTCCTGGAAATAGAATAGATAAAATTATATTTTGGAAATCCGTTTGTGCTGACTGCCATACTTCATTGCACAATGCGGTAATAAGCTTGTCATTACACTTCTCACCCACCTGATAAATGACTACTGAAAGCTGAGAGCAAAAAATAGATTAAAAGGAGTCAGAAATAATGTACTAAATACATAAAGCTATTAATTACCTTTACTACATGTTAGTCACATCTTCACATACATGCAAGATGAGTAAAAGCTATGGCTAGCTTTAAATGATTTTGACAGATATACAATATTTTTGTATTCAGACGCTGCTATATATTAGACCTAGTCATTAAATCTCGTAATTCTATACGTCTTGGTTCAAATCTTTAAACCATCATAAAGATCTTGAAAATGCAGATCTAAAGCAGTTTACAAATGCAAAGTTATGTGGAGTATGACACATTTTAATATCACACCGTATAATCAAATTTCATAGTTTTGAAAATGCTGTCTCTCTCTCTCCATTGCTCCGTGGTGTTTAAAAAGAATAAGGATATTTAAACAAATGTGAATGTGAATTTTAAAGACATACTTAGCACAACAATAATTTGTATTTTGTCTTTAAAAAAAAATCATCTAAATGAAATTGAATAAATTCAAATTTAAATTTGTGCATTTGTCACAGATATTACAACAAAATACTTGACTGACACAAGTCCTGTACATTTCACATTCATTAGAGCACCTTATCAACATTACAATGTTCTGGTATCACTTCTTTACTTCTGAATCCTATAGATGTTGAGAGTCATTCCCAATGGTAACTCTTTTGCTTTTTATCTCTTATCATACCCAAGCTTCATCACTTGGAATGATAGAAGCTTACTCTAATAGTCTAATACCAATCATTTTATTAACATACTGTTCAAAATCAATCATAAATTTAGTTTAAAGGGCAAGTCCACTCCGAAAATAAATTGCTTTCAGTAGAAGCAGAAAATTAGACAAACTAATAAAAAAAGTTTGAGCGATATCGGACAACTAATAAAAAAAAGTTATAAATATTTAATAACATGAAAAACACAAGACAAATTGGCAACTTACTCATGAGTCTTTGACGTCATTGCCTCACTAGTTATCAATTGATTTATATATTTCATAGTTTTTCATACTTTTTAGAAAATTCATAACTTCCTTATTAGTTACTCGATTTAACTAATTTGTTTTGCTCTATTTCTCTTGTTTTTTGCATCTATTTGAAGCAAATTATTGTTGGAGTGGACTTAGCCTTTAATGATATAAAGGCGCTTAAATGGCTTGAAAGTAATATTTCTTTAAAACAATAATTACTTGTATGTTGAGAGAGTATAATCATCATACTATGAAAAATTGTATTTCAATTCATCCATGTTTGATACTTATTTACATCAAATTCAACAGAGTGCAAATATCTGAAAATCTATGCAAAATTGATGAGATCAGCTAGGTGAAACAAATAATGATTTCAAATGAAAAAGCAACATTTCTGTTTTATTCACTTTGAACTGGTCAGCCACAATGTTCTCCACTCCTGAATGTAATCATCATACAGCATCCATTGCTTGGTCCAAGTCTACATCATCCAGATATGACATCATATTAACACCAAGATTCTGTAACATCATCCTCTCCATCTCGATTCCATACAAGCCCTGCCTCCCCTGCTCACTATGTATCAAAGCAGCTAGGCTGGTCGTCCCCGGCGACCGATCCATACAATCATCATCCTCCAACGAGTCCATTCTCCTCTTCTGATGAAAATACCCACAAGGCATACGCACCATCATCTCCCGGGTGGTACGCGATGGAGCCGGTATCGATGCCGCCTGACGCTGGTGTGTGGTGGAATTAGGGCGCATCTCCATGATGTGTTGGTACCCCCCACAGTCTCTGCTGGTACCGGGTGTATCAGGATCTATAGGGGATGCAGGGCGGTTGATATCTCGGAGGGCAAGGCGCATCGAGCTGGCATCTAGTTTAGGAGGGCGATCGTCTAGCTGCTCGAGTTCAGCTGTCTCCATCTCAATAGCTTGGTTCACTCTGCCTTCTGAACTGCTCTCTATTGGTGACAAAGAAATGTTATTTAGAGTCAGAAGAATGAGTAATTCACTGAATTGCTTATTTGTGAACATTTAGATTAAAAGATAATAAATGGATTAAAATGTACCTAGATTATTCAATACAGAATTACAGGTGATCCTCTTGTGAATAATTCATGTTATAAAAAGGCAATTCAATTACACTTGCTCTTGGCTGCTTTATGTTGGAATTAAGGTTAGGTTTTGGGTTGCGATTGGATTTTAGCTAGAATGAGCTCAGGGTATAGTACAGTATTGAATCCAGGGTCGAGGTCTAGAATGATGTTTACAGAGTTTGACTGATGTTTCAACAAGTCCTTTAAAGCTTATCTGCCATAGTTTACAGGAGGGATTAGACCGCCCTGCAAGGTTACTGGACAGGTGGTTATCTCATCAACTCAGCTCTCAGTTAACATAAGAAAAAGAGGATGATGGGGGACCAATGGTCACCGATTAGGCATTGTTTGTTATATAGAGGGCGCAAGTAGCTACAAGTAGTGCAGTGGGCCTTTAAGCTCTAATTTAACTATGAGGAAAAGTGTTTTGAAATAAGAATATCTTATCCAAATTACTAACAAGTAAATTTGGTTCTAAAATTATCCCTGGAGAATTGTTCATAAAGTCATTAAATTACTGTATCTATGAAAAAGATGTTTGAAATAAGAATATCATATTTAAAACCCACACGTTCATTTAAAAAAAAAATTGGACTAGTAAGTTTAGAAACAAACCTCTGTGGCTCGCTCTCCTACTACTCCTCTCATCTGTTCTGAATCTGCTGTATAATACAGGTGGGTATCGCTTAGTGAAGACATGATACAGACCTAGGTAGAGTAATCCTGATAGACCCACCACAAAGGCTGAGGCACGGAATAAGTTACGACTTCCAAACCGATCATATACCAATCCTCCTAATAGCGTTCCTAGTCCCTTCCCTGCAGGCAGTGGGTTTAAAAAGAAAAAGAAAGGATTCTCAGATTCAGGTTGAGAGTATATCAAAGTTTATCATTATTTTATCAAATAAATAAAATGTCAATGTTCAAATATAAATGCAACAAATTATGAAATGATACATACACATCCAATAAAAATATCAGGTAACAACATTTTTATGGATCTTGTAAGTAGTAAGTCATTAAAAGAGAGCATTTTCATCCAGAATGAAGTAACATCACAACATATTCTACCAAAGATAATGTCATGACAAAACACTATTTTGTTCATATATTTTATACAAGTATATTCCTGCAAGAAACCAAGACTGAACATGACTTTCACCAGACTCAAAGGACATGTGAACCTTGAGGCCTCTTGCAAAATCTGACTAGTAATTTGAGTCACACGGGAGATGCTGGTTATTACCTTCAAGTAATACAAACCATGCTCTGAGTCTCATTAATGTTTCATGGACACATTCAAGATGATATATCATCCTCTCCTGTGAGATATGTTCATAAATCCTTACCAACTCATATAGTGCTACTTTGAACATAATCAGGAATGTGATCAACTGATCACAAACTAGCTTAATGCAACACCTATGTACCAAGGACATTTTTGTAATCTAAGCATAACTACTAAAGGCAATACTATAAGGTATTGAAGACGTCCTATAGCTGATTTCTTGAAACTATTTGTGATTAAAGGGAATTGGTAACATTGTAAAGATAAGTGAAACTGGTGCTAAGGTAGTGACTTCAATGCTAGATGTACAATTAAAGATAATCTAAAAGTTTGAGTGAAAACAGACCATTATTAACGATAACAATTGGGCAAAATTGATCTGATCTCAATTCTCCCAACTATATTATTACAATTTAATTAATTTTTTTAGGTGAGTGTAAAACGTCACAAAGCAATGAGTTGGCTCTATATACCATTCCAGACATTTAAGTGTTGACAGATTTTTTAAAGCCTGTTTTATGACTTATTGTCAAGGAAAAACGGTTGGAAAAATTCAAAAATGGTTGGGAGAATTTACTGTTAATCACTGTTAAAGGGTGTTGACCAGTGTCACCTTCTTAGAAAACCATTAATATCTTTGCATGTGGTTTGAGAATTTTTTCAGGATTTTTTTGCATGTTAGAAGGAAGATAATAAGTAACATTTCATACCAAAATTACACAATTTCGTAATCAACCTTCAACAATGTTACCAAGTCTTTTTACGTTTTAGCAATATTTGGAAGACCAATTACAGACTGTATAGAGACTGAGAGAGACATTATGTTATGCACATTTTATTTTTTGGCCCTAGTAGGAAATAAATATTGCTGAACAGGAAATTAAACCTTTTTGCCTAGTCAGTTCTACCGAACATATAGTTTGATGGAGTGCATATCATGAAAGTATACCCAATTGTGGTAGCTTATGATCAAGTGACCTCAAAAAATATTTCATGGTAAAGAGTAACCTGTTTTTCTGTCTAATGATACCCTATTCATAATTTGTTTGGCCACGGATGCCCGATCACTGTATAATGGATCCTTTTCTAATGAGTCATAGCAATCTCTCATTTATAAGTTACAGTTATTCAGCATTTAGATACCTCATTTGCATGTTCCTATGACGAAATGGGCACAGGATTGAATATAGTGCTTAATGAACAGTGACCCAGTAGAATAGTTATTTTAGATCTGCAGTAGGTTGTACATCATCATTTTAGAATGATTTTAATTATACATACACTCTGTATACTTATGTCATGTATTACTTTGTTTATTTATATTTGCCTTACTATAGACCTGCCAACCTCTGGAGTTAAAAAACTGTATTCTTTAAACCCAAAAGTTGTATTTTACTGACAAAAGTTGTATTCTTAAAAATGAACACGGACTGTTACACGGATCAATGCCTCTTACAGTTCCAACATACAGGAAGAATTTTTTTTAAGGATCGTTGGTTGAATATACATGATTTCGTCACAACTGGTGTGTTCGATGAACCAATGAACATCCCCAAATTGCTGATGTGAGATGCTTGTAGGATACTTTATAGGTCAGAATGGGCATTTTGCCATTGAAAATGGCACACACACACAAAAAAATTAAAAAATTAAAAAAAAAAAAAAAAAAAAAAAAATCGTATTGTCGTATTTGCTTCTAAAAATCGTACTAAATACGACTAAATCGTACTGGTTGGCAGGTCTGTTACTATGGTTACAATCAATGGAATCTAGCTCATGAATTGTAGAAAATTTAATTTTAAAAATGTGTCCACATCAGCAGTAGATAGTACATGAACTCTATAATATTGATGTGTAGCTTTTAAAAGTGCTTCAAAATATAACTAATTACATGCAGTATATCATTAACATGAGAATAACTCATAATTGAAGCAATGAATATGATAAGTTCAAATCTCATGTCCAGATCTACATTAGATTGTAAAGGAATGATGTACACACTTTGTAATTATGCTACAAGTGCTTTATTGATATATACATTTCCCCACAAATACAATATATTATCACAAATATAATAATCACTGAGGATATCACGTTCCTTATAACTACATTACCAGTATAAGAATATATAAATCCTTAGCAGGAGTAATACTCATACTGTGTCCACATCTGCCTTAGATTGTTCAACCCATACAAGAGAATATGAGTCATCTGTACTTGATTTTACATATATATTGTTCATGAATTGATGCATTCATCATCATATCAATAATCATGATACAAAGTGCAAAGTTGTTTGGCCTATATTGCTGTACAGTGACATCATAATGCCTCTGTAGCCTGTATATCTTGTGCAATAATTCAATATCGATAATACAATAGTTCATCTTAGATAATTCATTTTATTTAATTGGATTTTGATTATAATCCCCGCAGATAGGAATATAATTACCAAGCTGTGAATATTATGTATGTGATACATGTAATTTATGGGGTCAATGACATCTCATATGGCAGTACTGTATACAACAGAATTTATCTTGAAAATGAAGTACATGGACTTTTTGCTGTATTCCCATATTCCTCTTGTTCCTGCTTTTCCATATTTTAAGTATTATTTTCTTCCCTTTTTTCCCCTCTTTTTCCTTGACACTCTATCCAATTGAACAGGAATAATTGAATATGAATTTCAATCCATCAATGCCATAACATGAAATGAGAAAGGGGGAAAAATGGTCATACATACCAAATCCCATGTGAACACTAGTGAAGACTGCTTGTAACGTCATGGCCAGACCTGGAGGTGCATTCTGGTTGGCGTAGGATGTACAAGCTGCCCAGGACAATCCATAGGTGATTCCATGCAGGAGCTCAAAGGGTATCACTGCCCAAGGGTTGGTGATCAGCGAGTAGCCTAAGAAACGTACGGTATAGCAGAACAACGAGAAGCAGAGTGCTCCTATATGACCGGTAAATCGTATAACTCGGTTTGATACAAACAAGAAGGGTATTTCTGCAATGCAGGTGATAGTCAAAGTGAGTCCCATCAGGGTGTGAGATGCATGAAGCTCCTGGAGGTACAGGAACAGGAATGTCCCGATGACTCCAAAACCCATTCCCAGGATACAGACGGTGACCAGGAAACCAAGGATCTCAGGTTTGCGGATTAGTCTCGGAATGCTCTGGCACTGTGCTTTGACTGATGTCTGTAAAGGGAAGACGATGAAGGTGGCAAAGACCACAGACGCGAGCATGAAGGCCAGGAAAAGATAGAAAGCAGGATCAAAGTAAGCTAGGTTCTTGGGTGAATATCTTGCGTAGTGGTCTATGAGGATTCCAGAGATGAGAGAGAAGGCTCCCCAACCAAAGGCACCCCAGATACGCTGCTTACCAAAGTCATCATGTTTCTGCTGCAAGAGTTCCATTGTCGTAGAGTGAAGGATTGGAGAGGTGGTGCACATGAACGTCCTACTAAACAAAACTAGAATGAGCAAGAGGAAAAATGTGGACAGAAACGCTGAATCAGTGTGATCCATTTTGCTCACTAGTGGCTTTATCTCATGACAGTGGCATGAAAAAGAATCTTGTGTTGAGTCAGTAAGGTTCAGGGGTGACATAAAGGAGATGTTCAAGGATGTTGAATATATCAAGGGTGTTCTGTTATTTCTTGAACACCACACATCACCTTCAGAGGACCACTCACCATCCGTCTGCTTTCTGTATATAACTGGTTCACATTCATAACATGATGAAGCCCCTTTTGGAGGATCACAGCCATACGCATCACCTATACTCTCATTACACCCGCTAGTTCTGTTGACATATGCTCTATCTTGTTGAAGAAAACACAGAGTTTGTACACAAGACTCCTCTCCTGTTGCTGACGTAGAGTTGCCTTCCATCGCGCTCCTTTCTTCCTCACACGATAAACTGTTATTGAGTGCTCCGCAAACACTGTAACAGATACCCAACTTTGCATCACTGTCATCCTCTAATTGCACTGCCGGTGAAATTGCATTCAAGTAGGGTGGAAATTCTGTCACATCCATCAGATGCAAAAGGTCTGTAGTCCTGAAATTTGGCACAGCTTGATCGATGGGTAATTGGGTGGTGTTATGATATGCATCCATTCTCAAAGAGGGAACAAAAAAGGTCCCAAACAAGAACACTGTGGCACCCCCTATGGCTGTAAGGAGCACGGCTCTGTGTGTGTTGAAGCTGTCAGCAATGCTGCCCCAGAGGTGGGTGAAGATGAGGGCTAAGAGAGGTTCAAGGCCCCTGATGAGACCCACTTGGGTAGCTGTCAGCCCTAGTTGACTCATGTACAGAGGCAGGTATGGAACCAAGCTCGCCAAACCTGTAAGGAAACAGGAAACATTGATGTTAAATAAATCAATAGAAACACTTCATACCACAACAAAACAGCTATCATGAACTTAAATGGTGATCTACAAAAATATTATATTCCAAACTACGAGCTTTACTTGTTTTCTACACCTTGCAGAAAAGAAAGGAATGAAACTTTAGTGGAAGTTCTTTATAATAAAAGATATTCAAACATTTGTTTGCCTCCATTGTAAAAATCTATATTTGTCCCACCATGAATTAACCATATACATTTAACAATTAATTATTTATAACCTTATCAAGTTTTAAATACTTTAAGAATGTGAAAAGTCAATTTGTTTCAATTTATGTTTCTTGAGAATATGACATGTTAAACCTCACATCTAAAATTATTCAACAAATGCCCTAATTCAAACGAATCCAAATTTCTTGAGTTACAAAAAACACAAAAATAATCAAATTTAAGAGGGGTAGGAATAATTCAGTTGTTAACTGTTGCCTGGATATCTGACCTAATGTGACTTCTTTCATTCTAACAAAAGGTAAGCTGCTAAAATTAATGAAATGCAGCAGAAGTGCAATCTCATAGTGAGAGGGAAGGGATGTTGAGAAAGGGGCTTAATGAAATCATAGACCAGACATTTTTATACATAATGGCACCCCTATGTAAGACTGTCATGTATGAAGGCTGTGGGGATTATTCTATTGCTTTTTTAAGCTGTTTAAATATGCAGGATCTCCAGGTTTAGCACTGGTGGAGGAAAAGGAGGGAGAGGAGGGAGAGGAGGGAGAGGAGAGGAGGGAGAGGAGGGAGAGGAGGGAGAGGAGGGAGAGGAGGGAGAGGAGGGAGAGGAGGGAGAGGAGGGAGAGGAGGGAGAGGAGGGAGAGGAGGGAGAGGAGGGAGAGGAGGGAGAGGAGGGAGAGGAGGGATGGAGGAGGGAGAGGAGGGAGAGGAGGGAGAGGAGGGAGAGGAGGGAGAGGAGGGAGAGGAGGGAGAGGAGGGATGGAGGAGGGAGAGGAGGGAGAGGAGGGAGAGGAGGGCGAGGAGGGAGGGGAGGGAGGGGAGGGAGAGGAGGGAGAGGAGGGAGGGGAGGGAGGGGAGGGAGGGGAGGGAGAGGAGGGAGAGGAGGGAGAGGAGGGAGAGGAGGGAGAGGAGGGAGAGGAGGGAGAGGAGGGAGAGGAGGGATGGAGGAGGGAGAGGAGGGAGAGGAGGGAGAGGAGGGAGAGGAGGGAGAGGAGGGATGGAGGAGGGAGAGGAGGGAGAGGAGGGAGAGGAGGGCGAGGAGGGAGGGGAGGGAGGGGAGGGAGAGGAGGGAGGGGAGGGAGGGGAGGGAGGGGAGGGAGGGGAGGGAGGGGAGGGAGAGGAGGGAGAGGAGGGAGAGGAGGGAGAGGAGGGAGAGGAGGGAGAGGAGGGAGAGGAGGGATGGAGGAGGGAGAGGAGGGAGAGGAGGGAGAGGAGGGAGGGGAGGGAGAGGAGGGAGAGGAGGGAGAGGAGGGATGGAGGAGGGAGAGGAGGGAGAGGAGGGCGAGGAGGGAGGGGAGGGAGGGGAGGGAGGGGAGGGAGAGGAGGGAGAGGAGGGAGAGGAGGGAGAGGAGGGAGAGGAGGGAGAGGAGGGAGAGGAGGGAGAGGAGGGAGAGGAGGGAGAGGAGGAGAGGAGGGAGAGGAGGGAGGGGAGGGAGAGGAGGGAGAGGAGGGAGAGGAGGGATGGAGGAGGGAGAGGAGGGAGAGGAGGGAGAGGAGGGCGAGGAGGGAGGGGAGGGAGGGGAGGGAGGGGAGGGAGAGGAGGGAGAGGAGGGAGAGGAGGGAGAGGAGGAGAGAGGAGGGATGGAGGAGGGAGAGGAGGGAGAGGAGGGAGAGGAGGGAGAGGAGGGAGAGGAAGGAGAGGAGATGGGGACAGTGATCACTCAATCATCTACATCCAGAGGATAGCAACTAGAGAAAAGAAGTCATGCTGTTCTCCAATCAATGAAATCACCCGCTTCGGTTCAGTAATGAATAATAAAGTCGCAAGGATCAAACATTGAGTGTACCAGCTCTACTTCAAATATACAGAGCACATGTGTATAGATTTCTGCATGCATAGAGCAATGTATGGTCCAGATTCTACCTATTCAGTTAAAGCAAACAAATATTATGTTCACAAAAGGATAACTTGGACCTCAGACTAACTTCCTTTGTTAAACCTTATTTCTAACAAAACCTAAACCTAGCATATAGGTTTAAATTTTAGAAGAGAATATAGGCTTGTTTAAGTATGCTAAGAGATGCTCAGATCACTATCAAAGATATGTATATATTTATTAATTAGTCTTGTTTTAATAGGGTGGCTCCATCAGTAGTTAAATATTGTTTTCCGTGGATATATTTCGAACATAAAGATGGAAAAACTACCCATATCTTATGTAACCAAGAACCTGTACACATGTATACCAGGTGGAAGCTTTAATGGTCAACACTTAAGAAAAGCTGCATTATAATCATCATGATTTGATTCTCAATCTATTTTAACCAGTTGAAAACCACACCTGGAAAAAAATAGGATGGAACTCACTTGAAATACTGTATGTATTAAATGAAAATATTATTCCACAAGGTTAACATAGAGTTAATTAAGTTTGATCTTTAGACAGTACTTCGTCACGTCTTAATCAGAACAGGAGAAGGACAGTGAGAGAGTGATTTGTACAATAACAAACTTACAATTTCCCTTATTCCTATTTGGAAAACCTATATATAACATTTCATGGACAAAATAATAATGGAAACTAGTTTTAAATACTGTACTGACAGCTTTGTGTGCCTATGGGTAAAATTTGTGGATACAAAAACAACAACCAAGTTTTCCATTTATGGAAGATTACTCTCATGATGCACAATTTGTACATGATAAGGAGAAATTTAAAAAATAATAAAAATAAGATGTGAATTCTAAGAGAAAATAGGAATCATACAATTACTATGCAGAATTTTCTTCTTAAAATTATAAATTAAACTTGGCAAAGAAAAGGATTTTGAGACAGGTTTGTACGAGACTTTTACAGTTCACCCTAGATACATTAATAGAATTGCAAAAAGAAAAATGTGAAGACATCTATTGACAAATAAACCTCTTCAAAAGTCTTTTACAAATGGTAGGTGACATAAACCACGCGACTAAACACTTCTGTCAAATGACGTTGCTAAGCATTTTCTTCTCCTATTCTCTATGTGGCGCGTAACAAAAAAGTAATCTCACTCTCTCACTTGCTGTCTGTGATGGCACTGAAAATCAATAGGTGAATCCAGCATGTACAGCTCAGTCCAGCTGCCTTTCAATTATGACCACCCTGATGAAACATTGATTGACATTTTAAGCTTAAAAGAAGCCGGCCATTCATGAGCAGTGTGTAAACATGTGTACCCCTGTAATTAGGTAACTCGGCTACCAATATGACCTTTTGATGCTGGAACAAGTATCTAAGTTTCTCTCCCATCCCTCCCCTCCACCCCCACCCCATTTTTAGTCCGCCAAACGTAGAAATTATCTTGACTCCCACTCTGGATTTGAATTGATCCCTTGCGAACCAATATAGGACTTTCAAGGATATTTTATAATTAGTCATTACATATGCATTTAAAATACGGGTTTTACAGTATTATCCCATATGCTCTTGTTTTAAATGACAGATCCCAGACCCAAAATATCTGTGAGAGATGCAAAAAACAGAAACTAAAACCAGTATTTATTGGCATACTGAGTTCTGCTATCTTCTGAAAATAGAATATCAAATATCATAATCTCTACCAGCTTTTAACCTATAAACTTGGGGTTTTTAATCAATAAATATTATTCAAAGGCATTTGTCATGATCAATGATTATTTCTGACATTGATTTAGTTTACATATGTTTACCATATGGTCACCGTGAGGGCATTTATGGCAACTACTAACACAAAGGCTTTTTCATTCTACCAAGTCCTCATTTCTCTCATGGGTATGATGTAACATCTGTTTTCTAGCTTATTAGAGAATCTATTACAAATCAATTGGTGTTGAGAGTGCATACATTATATATGATCAATTGTGTAATCACATTAAAGATTAAGGGGCTAAACAATAGTAATTATTCTGCAGTAAATTCAACTCACCATTTCCGGACAGTTCTTAAAATTAATTATTAAAGGGACATGTTTAGAATGAATTATCAGTGTTTTTACTCCTATGTTTAGTCATATTCAGAAAGGAATACCAGAGTTTAGGGGAAAAGAAAAGAATGTGTCTCAAATCTAAGTCTTTAAGTTTGAAGGGGTCGACGATTAGTGAATGTAATACATTCATGAGACATCTCAAAAGAGCATTTTGTCATGAAATGGAACATTTTACTCAGTTGCACTTGCCTACACCTTTTGCTTTTTAGAACTTCTCTATCATAATAAAATATGAAATGAACGTATTTTCCATACACTTGATTAGACAAGCCTGCACACTAATACTATTCTAGTGTCTCTTTAAATATGCGCAATGCATGCAGCTGAGATGCAACATTCACCACTTAAATAGGTTAATATAATCAAAATGTCAAATTCTGCAGCAGGCTAGAATCTGTAAATGTCAAATTTATCCACTCTTTCATATCAAAGCAAATTACATACAATAATAAACAGACTCTTGTTATCTGAAAATTGCAAAATAAGAGGGAGTACCAGTTGCACATAACTTCCCCCCCCCCCCCAAAAAAAAAGGGATATTTAATTCAAGCATATGGTGCAGGTGTGTATATGTTTGTATCTCTGCCTACAAAGAAAGAATTAAATGCAAGAAGCAATTTCATTTGCATCAAATTACCCTCCCACAAAATTAATGAAATCTCATTACAATATATTCTCTTGCGATTAGCTGACAATTTCTTACCTGCCTTTTTGATTTTTTTTCCTGGCATTTTATATTATTTAGGTTATTTGTATGCAGTTCAATCTGTATACCTTTAATAGCTGACTGGAATTAAGCCTTTAGAATTTAAAGAAATTAATTTTGTAATCATCACTGAAAGTTCATGCTTTCCAATAAAAACAATCAGACACAATTTGTTCCTTACATAGCATCAAGCCTAGAAATTGATTATATACTTTGAGGAAACACATACAGGAATCAAGAACGTGTTATGGTATCACAATCAAATAAAAAGAAAAGATTATCATTTAACAGCGTTGCCCGATTCAAAATTCAAGGGAAATACTTTGATTTATTTATTTGATTTATTTATTTCTGTTTGATTTTCTTTTTCTTTTGCATTTTTACAAATATATAACAAACAAACCATTGCAGATTCTGTATCTGTATTGTTATCATTAATTATTATCAAGCAAAATTAGGCTTACATATATATCTAAGCATAGATGAACATAATATAATGTAGCTACAACTGAAACAAACAAACCAAGCCAACATCCCAGGATGGCATCCACCATACCCAAAGTGATTATGACTTGGTTCTGGTAGGCTATACTCCATCATGAGAATGCTTATTGGATAATGTCAATCATAATAGATTCTACTAGCGTCCTGATGACATTTCACAAACCTATAATCTTCTTATCTCATACAGATTAGGACCCAGATATGTGCTGTAGTTATTAAATGCAGAAGGCCATTCTGTGATGAGTCACATCTACCATTTTCTTCAAGGCAATGGTGTACAGGAATGTAATTATCATTTGATCAAACTACTTTATTCAATAAACAACTAAATTCCAATGATGGCAAATTATGATATCATTTATAATTTGTATACTTAGAACTGATGTGGAGAAACATCATTTATAATTTGTATACTTAGAACTGATGTGGAGAAACATCATTTATAATTTGTATACTTAGAACTGATGTGGAGAAACATCATTTATAATTTGTATACTTAGAACTGATGTGGAGAAACATCATTTATAATTTGTATACTTAGAACTGATGTGGAGAAACATCATTTATAATTTGTATACTTAGAACTGATGTGGAGAAACATCATTTATAATTTGTATACTTAGAACTGATGTGGAGAAACATCATTTATAATTTGTATACTTAGAACTGATGTGGAGAAACATCATTTATAATTTGTATACTTAGAACTGATGTGGAGAAACATCATTTATCATTTGAACATGATACTTCACAGAGGAGAATAATAAGTTATACTGTTGTCTGAAATTAGATTATATAAGAAATAATCAGAAAATGTGGTTGAAGTTATGGAACCACACTTTTCCCTCAAAAATTCAAACAGAACTTAAACTCCATCTCATAATATGAGATGTGATATAGAAAGTAATGCTATTCCTGAAAACAGAATTTAACAAAAAATGTGCTGAGAGTGAAAAAGTATTAACATTGGAATCTACATCACATCCTACATAAGCTACCTTGGATTACAGTGAATCTACATGTATAATCAACAATAGATGTATATGTATATTATTTCTATGAACAGTTTGCAATCAGTTTGCATCATATTCTTACAATTTTACTTCCACTTGAATTTAGTGATTTGTCATGCTTTATCTCTTTCCGCCCTCATCATCCATCACTCCAAATTTTTAGACATCTCACAATATTTACTTATGTTACAGATCTCTCAATGTATAATTAGCTTGCTTAAAAGTCACTGAAAACATTGACATTTACCTCTCTACATTAGATACTGTTTTATTCATAGTTCTAAATCAAGATCCTTGAATGTCTCTTTTTTTCTTTAAAAAACTTGTCTCCCTTCTCTTTCTCACAAATCTCTCCCTTTTCCTCTCCATTCCTCCTCTTTCTTCCTGATTCCTCCTATCCATATTACAACCCTGTCTGCTGAGAGCCAGAAGGGTGTTAACCCATTAACAAAGATCTAGCTAACACCCTCCTGGCTACCAATAGACTAATACACATGTGTCTCGACCAGCGATATTCAACCCAGTCATCCTTGAGAGTATATTAAATGGGCTTTTAAAGTGCGGCATATTAAATAGGGTTTTAAGGTCCTGTACATCAAATGGAGTTTTATTCCTGTAGCGCATCCTGAACTACTCTACCAGACTAGACCATATATACTTCCAATGCATCATGATTATGAAGGGTGCCTCCCCTGGGGGCAAAGCACCCATTACAAACATCAGTACAGTCATATAACACACACTAAACACTTTTCTTTCATGCAAGAAAACATCCCAACATATGATGCAACATGAAAATATATTTTATTTTTGATGCGTGCGTATCTTTTCACGATAACATTTTCATGCGCTATTCATCATAAGGCTGACTAAGGTAATATGATACTCACAGTATTGATGGCAGAATTTCATTTCTGTTTTCAATTTTTTACCAACTGTGTTTAGATTTGGGATGCTGTTTGCACAAATGCCTTCTGAATTGTACCACTCATATTATTTGCCCAAATGGTACTAAATCTGGGACAAGTCATTCCCTTTTGAACTACTGACTTACCAACTGTAAATATATAGTTTGTATAGCCAGACAGTATATGTATCTGTAGATAGAATTAACTGCCTATATTCACATTACCTTAAATAATCTTTGAAAGGTGAGAGAAGTAAATGATAGTTGTATCATTTTATGTAAGTGGAAAACAGTTAGGAGTAGATGTTAATGATGATAGATGTACTTTTTATTTTCTGTTGATCTTGAAACAAAATTGCGAGCTACTTTAATAGAGAAATTTGATGCTGAATGCTAGTTTGATGAATTATAATACATGCATATAATATGAATTGGGTACAACAAATCTACAGATCATTGAGTTGAAGCAATTGATATTTGTGATACAATCTTCAAATAATTCTGACTTTGATGACGTTTACTTTTTCAAATACAGCCCAAACGTAATGTAAACTATTAAAACTTACATTCACCTCCCCAGGCGCGGATCCACGAGCCCAATTCTTCCGGCCCGGCTATGGCAAGCCCATTGTGTAAAAACTAGATAAACTCAGTTTATCAGAAAAACTGTGTTTATCAATGATAAACTCAGTTTACCAACTGATAAACTGAGTTTTTCTGATAAACTGAGTTTATCAACTGATAAACTCTGTTTATCTGATAAACTCTGTTTATCTGTTGATAAACTGAGTTTATCAACTGATAAACTGAGTTTTTCTGTTAAACTGTGTTTATCTGTTGATAAACTGAGTTTATCTAGTTTTTACACAAAGGGCTTGCCATAGCCGGGCCGGAAGAATTGGGCTCGTGGATCCGCGCCTGCACCTCCCCCCCCCCCCTCCCCCATCAATCCCTCCCAAGATACTTCATCCAGAGTCAACACAAATTGAGTCAAAGTAATTAGACTCACCGGCCAAATGTGTGAAATAGACCGCCTTGACAGGCAGGAGAGCCCGGTTAATGTGAATCTTCATCTTGGAATCTTTTCGCAAGTCGGTATTCTCTTTCCGCTTGTCTCTGTCGACGTGGTTATTACTTTCTGGAGGCTTGTGTTCCGTCTGGTTGTGGCCCCGAGTAGCTGCATGCTGAATTATGAATGTTGGTTTCAAATGATGACACCCTCTGTTTCTCCCATCTCCGTCATTTGTTATTCAATTCCTTAGAGACCGGCAAAGCTCTGCTCTCCTGAGGCATTAAAACAAAAAGGATATCACAATTTAGAAAAGAGAGACATTTATGGTATTTGATATGGCTGTTGTGATTCTAACATACCACATTTTTAAGAAATCGAGGTACTGACTAGAAAACAAAACACAATTGTTGACTATCTCCTCCTTTTTTACCAACTGGATTTAAAAACAAAATCTTTGTATTTCTATTTGTATTTCTTGACATACAAATAAATGGTTTCTTCATCAGCCTTGAGCTCATTTTCTAGATCATTTTGTGGATAACTTGCATCAGTATAAATGAGCTTTCAGAAGCTGTCATTTTTCATAGGTTTTTGTAACTCTTCTCTGAATTCAGCTATCATCAACACTAATAACAAAACTGATTCATATGAGCAACTCTTAAATAATTCATGACAACTTACGAAAGTAGTCGACATTACTGTCGGAGAAAAAATATAATGAACAAAACAGGAATGTAAAGCTCAAAATCAATTATCATTATAACCTGATTGAAAGCAAGTAGCATATCAAACCACTGTCATGTAATGAAAATATCACACATATATGATAAACCTGTATAAATAGAATTTTACTTTTAAACTCAATTCTTCCATTACACATTATTTTTCCATTCTATATTGCATTTCATTCATCATGAATACCACAATCTATAACACATTCACTTTTTTTTTTTGCATTATCTATTTTATTCATTCCGCATTATTCATATCTTGTCTGTTAGAAAACCACAGCCATCATAAAGACAATAATTGTTTTCTCATCATCAGTTGGTTTAAGAGAACCTCCCTGATTATTAAATTTCAATCAAATATCTATCTTGCTCCTAGCACCGACCACAAGGTAGTATGCAAACTTAATTGAGAAATGAAGATTTCACTCCTCAGGGCCTGCTGCGCACTGAGTAGTTAATAAACCTAGATTCATAGTCTCACGTTCCATCCTAAAATAGTTTGTGTGTCTAGTGACCCAAGATATTTAAAGATGAAGTTGAGTTCTGGTCATGCGATTGCATTGTGAAAGAAACGGTGTGGAACCGACCAGAAAAGGTTGATCCTCTAGCATATAAGAAGTTGTGTGTATTGCAAGGTTCTGGAATCATCAAAATAATAAGAAATTTGGCCAAGTCTTGGTAAAGTTACAAACACTTGCACAGAAAGATGTATATGGGACTACACGAACACGTGGCGTAAAAAGCCGCCCCCCCCCCCCGATTTTTACGATGTTACATGCATATTTAGAATATGAAGGCATTTGAAGAGCCATGCTTTTCAGGGAACATGTCTTAACTGATGTTCTTCCACACTTGCATGATAAGAATAAGCAATGCTCACGAATTATTTTTCACCGCTTCCCAGAACTCAACCTTCTCTTTAATCACCAACGGTACTGAAATATTATGTTTGAATTAGAAAGGAGAAACAACATGTTAACTAACATCTAAATTTCAATTTACTTGGGGAGCTAGTATCAACATCATATTTTGTTTTAGTTGGGGGGGGGGGGGGGTGACACCACCGATTAGTAACATTCCCCTGCTTTAAGGAGTGTGTGGCATAAAGTATTGTAAGTGCCAAAATAGAATTAAAATTAGGCATAAATACAAGATGAAATAGGCTCAGGGAATAGGAAACAAGAAGAGAAAAGCAGTGATAATGAAAACCTGAATTTAAAGAAAAGGTTTTTTTTCAAAAGCAATACATGCATGTTTTTCACAAAAAAATATTGCCAATTGGTAGGTAAAATATTTTTGTTTCAAAAGATACATGAAATAAGTATTGATCATTCTTAATTTGTCTTCCATCATCCAAATAGCAATTACTTGAAGGTATTTACACTTGTTATTAATGATAGAAAATATAGCTTATGTACACTTCATATATTTAAGACCCTTGAGATTATATTTCACTGATTAAAACGTATGCTACATCACACACTCCATCACACCCACCTAAATTTATTACTAAGCTGATACGTGTTACAGGTAGTAATGGTTTTGGCAGATGGTGTTTAAGTTCAGGTGAGAGTGAAAGCCGGTAACTCGATCCCCCAAATTAATGCTCCATCTCAATTTTTGATCCAGTGTCCCTCTCTTAAAAGGGTTTATTTCCTCCTTAAGAGACCGGTCCTTAAACCCCATCAATCAACTTCAAAGTCATTTGAAGCTTGTAAGTAGAAGACAAGATGGGGGTGTAAAGGAGATGAAGAGCATCGTGTTTGGAACATGGAAATCCAAAAGGCTTTATAACATGTACCGGTATGTAGAGTATTCATGTATGCATGGATGAAACTTATAGTCCCTCATCGCTGCATGGGTTTGAAATATGACGCTTTAAGCAAGACCATCAGATAATATCCAAGTATCTATGAAAAGAAATTTTGCTTCAAGAAAATGTAAGTGAAACACTAGTAATGATTCATCCAAAACGGTTTCCAATAGATATTTCCATCATATTAAAATTGAATTAGGCCTTATGGCTGCAATTAGCTTTAATAATATACATATATTCCTTAAAACATATTTCTCTCCCTCCCTCCCTCCCCCTTCTTTGCTAAGCCCGCTTCTCCCTCTCTCTCTCTCTCTCTTGCTGTATCTCTCTGTCTCTCTCTTGCTGGATCTTTTCCCTCAGTCTCTCTCACATGCATATACATACATCCTTATACAAGCATGAATAACGCACTTACTGCCTATAATTTTGAAGACAAAAGAGCAACGGAAGGCTTTCTTTACCACAGAATTTTCTGCATGAGTCAAAGAACATACAGGGCCTGGATAGAATTAATGAATATAAACAACCACCTTAGATTTTCTATTCACATTACAGCAGTCACTTTGTTCTACAGAAAGGGGCTCAAAATAGACAGTTTTTAGAATATGATCAAACCAGTATCACATTGAAGCAAAAAACATACTTTTTCATGGCTTCCCCAAAAGATGAAATAACATTGTAAATTCTTTCCGGAAAACAGATAAAAAACTATTCATCTATCACTTTAACCAAATGATGAATCAATATATTCAAAGCTCACATGAGAGAGAAAAAAATAGGCTTTTTTATGATTATGCTCCTATTGTACTTTAAATACAAGAAATTAATGAATAATTAAAGGGAAAGTCCACCCCCAAAATAAGTTTGTTTCGATAGAGGCAGAATAATAAGAAAATCAGGTGAGTGAAAGTTTGAGCAAATTCTGAATGAAAATAAGAAAGTTATGAATTATTGAAGTTGTGATCAATCAAACACAAATTGGCAACTCTATGACGTATCATGCGAGCTCAACTTCCATTTGCTCAGTACTAAAAAAATCTAAAATTTTCATTTTCCCTCAAGAAAAATTTCAACCATACATGCACCCTAAATATAATAATTGCAAATATGTTTCTATACTCCCCCTGCAAGGAACAAATATATATTCCGTCATCAATAACGAAGAAAACATGATTTTATGGAATATTATGCACAAAGCAAATGAAGGAGAGCTCGTATAATAAGTCACAGAGTTGCCAATTTGTATTTGATTGATCACGACTTCAATAATTCATAACTTTCTTATTTTTATGCAGAATTTGCTCAAACTTTCACTCACCTGATTTTCTTATTATTCTGCCTCTATCGAAACAAACATATTTTGGGGGTGGACTTTCCCTTTAATGAAAAATCTTGCATCTGAACTAGTGTTTTGACAAGGATACTCAAAATACTTGTGACCTACTGGACTTAATAAAGAAAACCCCAAATCCCTAGACATCTAGCATTTTGTTCTTCCAGTGATGTTGACCTGTATTTTCTCCCTCATCTCTCCATGTCATTATTGAATTATTCCTTTCTTGTTGGCCTCCTCCTTGCGGGGGTTTTCTCATCACAATACCTCCATCTTAATACTGACCTTTAAGAAATATAATGTGATGAGAATAAACACAGACAGCGATGCTTTTAAGATGAAAGGCCTCATTATTGTGTGCGCTTGAAAGTCACGGACAGCTTGTGAATTAGTGTAGGATGGTTTACATCCTAAATCATTCATGGAAAACCTTCTTTACTGTATAAGATCCATCAAAACATTCAACTATACATTTTCTTCTCTCAAGTGAAATTTGTCAAGACATAAAAGTGGAAATGATGATGAATTTATATAATGATCAGGTGGGTTTATAAATGAAGAAGATACATACAATATTGTTTTTTTTCCTATGAATCTGAAAATAATACAGCTCAACTCGTCTTGTGGAGAAAAGCGAGTCGGGCTGGACGTGCACTTGAAATAATAAAATAATACTATTGAAATGCTGGTGCATATTTTCTGTTTACAGGTAGTATATCGAAAGTGAAATTAGAACAAAGTAAGTGTGGTGAAATACTGGTGTAAAGTGCTACAATATTTTCAAATTGTCTTCACCTGCTGCATACATTTTTTAATTTCTATAAGTTAAAGGTGTTACAAAGTTTTGGTATGGGGTCATGAATTTGGTTCAAATTGACATATTGGAAGCATATGCATTCCTACATTATTCATTGATCTTCACAGTTGAAAATCGAGTCTAAAGTTATGAAATTGTAAATAATAAACTCTTTATGTTGTATAGCTCCCTCTCAAGGTCAAGATATTAATTTAGCTATGAAACAATGTTTCTTGACTAAAATCGACCGATAATCTATTCCCATTTGGAAATTATATATGACAACTACATATTCTGAGATTTTCATGTTTGCAGCTACCATTGTACGGCCATAAGCGCCATTTGAAATTTATCAAAATTTACCGGGAGCACCGGTAAATTTTTATATTCAATTTTTCTCAAAAACAGAAGTGTTTTAGGGGCTAATTCTTTTAGTGCTTATAATACATCCAAAGGGGCATCCAAATATATCTAAATTGTAAAGATTCACTATCCACCCAATTTTCAAAATTTCCCAAAACTTTGTATTACCTTTAATCTATGCAAATTTGCCTGCAATCAAGCCAGCAATGATTTTCTTTTTTTAACCCAATGAAAA